TATTCTATTCTATTCTATTCTATTCTATTCTATTCTATTCTATTCTATTCTATTCTATTCCATTCCTTTCCATTCCATTCCATTCCATTCTATTCTATTCTGAATTCTATTCTATTCGGAATTCTATTCTATTCTATTAATTTTTATTCTATTCTATTCTGTATTTTATTCTATATGTCTATTCTATTCTATTCTATATTTCTATTCTATTCTATTCTGTATTTCTATTCTATTCTGTTCTATTCTGCAATCACCCTCCCCCTTTCACCTTTTGCCCCCCTCGCCCCCTTTCCAGGCCGTCCAAGCCATTGACCTCTTTGCTGGCGTCATTGAGAACCAGCTCCTCAAACACGGAAAGAAAGTTGTCGGTGAGTTTGGGGTCCTTGGGGGGGTGGGACCCCCATGGATTCCTTGCCAGGAGGGGTGGGGGGGTGGGCTGGAGGGACAAATCTCTGCTCATCCCAATACAGGTCGTCCTCAAGACACGACCGCAATTGAGCCCAAAATTTTATGTCACTAAGTGAAACATTCACTAAGTGAGTTTGGCCCCATTGAACGACCGTCCTTTGCCATATTTGTTAAGTCAGTCCTTGCTGTTGTTAAACGAGTCACACGGTCAGTAAGTGAATTTGGCTTCCTCCCCCATTGCTTGTCGGAAGGTCGCAAAAGGGGATCACGTGAACACACACACAACACACACACACACACACACACCGGGATGCTGCGACCGTCGTAAATACTGCTTGCCACCAGAAGTTGTGGGTGCTCCATCGCTGGAGGTGTTTAAGAAGAGACCGGACAGTCCCTTGTCTGAAACGGTATAGGGTCTCCTGCTTGAGCAGGGGGGGGGGGGCTGGACTAGATGACCTCTGAGGTGCCTTCCGACTCTGCCATTCTGTTCATTATCAGTGGAACATTTTGCCTCCCGGAAGTTGTGGGCGCTCCATCACGGGAGGTTTTTTTTAAAGAAAAGAGACTGGACAGTCCCTTGTCTGTGATGGTCTGTAGGTTCTCCTGCTTGAGCAGGGGGGTTGGGCTAGATGACCTCCGAGGTCCCTTCCAGCTCTGTTCTGTTTCTGATCCTGACCTTTTTGTTTTTTTCTTCTTCCTTTCTCTCTCCCAAATTTCCAGAGGAGCAATTCATGCTGAAGCAAATCGCCGACAGTGCAATTGATGTCTATGCCATGGTGGTCGTTCTCTCCAGGTGAGCCCCCCCCCAAGACCTCCTGCCCAAAGGCCCCCCTCCAGGGCTGCGTTTCCCCCCCCCCAGACCTCCAGCCCAAAGCAAATGTCCTTTTTTTTTTTATTGCTGGCCGGAATAGCCCACACCCCAGAAGACAGGCTCAAGGTAGCGAAGGATCTCGACAGACTTGAACCCAGGGCCCTATCTAAAGAAATGAAATTTAGTGTAGACAAAAGCAAGTTAATACATTTAGGCAAGAAAAAACAAGTGCACAGGTGTAGTATAGGGGGTACCTGGCTCAATAGTAGTAACTGTGAGAGGGATCTCGGAGTCCTAGTAGTGGACGATCCCTTAAATATGAGCCAGCCGTGTGCTGCAGCTGCCAAAAAGGGCAACACAGTGCTGGGCTGCATTAACAGAGGGATAGAATCAAGATCACGTAAAGGGTTAATACCACTTTACAAGGCCTTGGAAAGGCCACACTTGGAATACGGCATCCGGTTTTGGTCACCACGATGTAAAAAAGATGCTGAGACTCTAGAAAGAGTGCAGAGAAGAGCAACAAAGATGATCAGGGGACTGGAGGCTAAAGCATATAAGGAAAGGCTGCTGGAATTGGGTATGTCTAGTTTAATGAAGAGAAGGACGAGGGGGGACAGGGGAGCAGCCTTCCAGTATCTCAGGGGCTGCCCCAAAGAAGAGGCAGTCAAGCTGTTGTCCAAAGCGCCAGAAGGCAGAACAAGAAGCAATGGGTGGAAACTAATCAAGGAGAGAAGCAACCTAGAACTAAGGAGAAACTTCCTGACAGTTAGAACAATTAACCTGTGGAACCACCTGCCTCCAGAAGCGGTGAATGCTCCAACACTGGAAGTTTTTAAGAAGAGACTGGACAGCCATTTGTCCGAAATGGTGTAGGGTTTCCTGCCTGGGCAGAGGGTTGGACTAGAAGACCTCCGAGGTCCCTTCCAACTCTGATATTCTAAGGGGAACCGAGACATTTCGATAGGAAAGGTCCGTTGCAGATCCAGTGGGCGGTTTTAAGGAATCCCGAGACCACATAAACGAGGTTGTCTAGTCCAGGCAAGTATCTCGGTTCCTCCTTGCCCCGTGTCCTACCTTGCAACGCAGGTGTGAGTCTCACCTTCCAAAGATTTGATTTTGCTCTCCTCCTCCCTCTGGGTCAACAGAGCATCGCGGGCGCTGGAGCAAGGCCAGGCCACGGCCCAGCATGAGAAGGTGCTTTGCGAAACCTGGTGCACGGAGGTAGGCCTTTGGGGAGGGGGAGGGGGGGGCAGCATCTCTGCAGGGGGCTGCCCCTGGCTGGGACTTAACCTGATGGGGGTGGGGGGAGGGAGGAAGAGATGGGGGGGGGCGGAGGGTGGTTCAGGAAAGTACTTGAGTCACAGATTCACCCCAAATGTTCAGCAATCTTAAGATGGAGGGAGGGAAGGAGGGAGGAAGGAAGGAAGGAAGAAAGGAAGGAAGGAAAAAGAAAAAGGAAAGAAAGGAAGAGGGAGGGAGGGAGGGAGGGAGGAAGAAAGGAAGAAAGAAAGGAAGAGAAAAAAAAGAAAGAAAAAGAAAAAACAGGAAAGAAAAAAAGAAGGAGAAAGAGGGAGAAAGGAAGGAGGGAAGAAAAGAAAAAAGAAAGAAAAAGAAAAAGAAAGGGAGGGAGGGAGGAAGGGAAGAAAGGAAGAGGAAAAAAGAAAGAAATAAAGAAAAAAGAGAAAAGAAAAAAGGGAGAAAGGGAGGGAAGAAAGGAGGAAAGAAAGAAAAGAAAGGGAAAAAAGAGGAAGGAAGGAAGGGAAGAAAGAAAGGAAGAGAAAAGAAAAAAGAAAGGAAAGAAACAAAAAGAAGGAGAAAGGGAGGAAGGAAGGAAAGAAAGAAAGAAAAAGGAAAGAAGAAAAAGAAAGAAAGAAAGAAAGAAAGAAAAATTGAAGTAAAGAAAAAGGAAAAGAAGGAAGGAAGGGAAAAGTAATGGAGGGAGGGAGGGAGCAAGAGAGAAAGGAGAAAGTAAAAAAGAGGGGAGTGAGGAAGTAAAAAAGAAGGGAAAGGAGGAAAGTAAAATAATGAAGGGAGGAAAGGAGAGAGGGAGGGAGGAGAGAAAAAGGAAGAAGGGGAGAGGAGGAAAAGGAAGGAGAAAGAAAAGGGGGAGGGAGGAAAAGGAAGGAGAATTAAAGACGAATATATAGATAAAGATAGATAGATGAAGGAGAGAAAAAGGAAGAAAGAAAAGAAAGAACGAGACGAAAGGAAGAAACAAGGAAGTCGGGCAGGTTTTTGATTATTGAGAGAAGCAGGGATGGTTTTCAGTGGAACCCCCAAAAGAAACCGCGGGAAGCACCTCGGATCTCCTTTCCGAAAGGGACGTGATCCAGGAAGGAGGCGGTCCCGCTTCCCGGAAGCGTAAAATCCTCTTTATTACCGAGGGCTCAATTCGATCTCGTCTCTTAAGCGGCCGCCGCAGAGGCAGCCCAGGTAATCCGGTTAGCCCCGCGGCCGGGAGAGGAGAGCCTTTTCATTTAGCCGCCTCCTCCTCAAATAGCTAAATGGAAAAGCCATATATATAAATAATTGGCATTCAATAAACCTTCCTTTCCCTCCGGAGCCCGATAAATTGCGAGCGAAAGGCTGACGGCTGTTCCCGCCTATGCCTCGGAAGGTTGTGCAAGTTCGTAGACGCAAAACCCGCCAACTTTTAAGTCGGGTGTGGACTTCAACTCCCAGAATTCCCCCGTCAGCCACGCTTGCTTTTTTTTTTTTTTTTCCTATTATTCTCCCTAGAGCGGAGAGATTGCAGAGTAAGGGATCGCAAGAGAGTAAGCAGACGTAAAGTCCCTAAGTCTTAAAAATTGCCAAATTTGGACACGACCCGTGGCGGTTGTCGACTCTAAGACTTCGGAACCCTCTTCTTCTCGCTCTCTTAACCCCAGTTGTGTGTGTGTGTGTGTGTGTGTGTGTGTGTGTTTTGACATGGGAGGGCCCTTCTCATCGCTCCTTTCTCTCTTTCCTCAGGCCCACCAGCGTATCACCCAAAGCTTGACCTCTCTCTCGTCCAGCACCACTCAACAAATCTTCAAGAATTTTCGGGTCATCTCCAAAGCGATGGTGGAGAAGGGAGGGGTGGTCTCCCCTTACACCCTGGGCTTCTGAGACCCCCCCTCCTTATCTCTCAGCTGCGTTCCTCCCTGGTTGCAACGGGGGGGGCTGCAGCTTTGCGGGGTGGGGCGTTCGAGCCTCATCCTCTCCCCACTGGAAGTTCACAGATGTCATTTTTTGGAAATTGCGGCCCCAACGCCTGCAGGCAGTCCTCGACTTACGACCTCCCAATTTTACTTTTTTCCCCCCACACGTTTTACAAGCGAATTCGTTGCGGTGAATCTCGCAAACGGCGATCGCCTGACCCCTCGCCCCCCCCCCGACGCTGCGACCGTCGTAAATATGAGACTGTTACCAAGTGCCCGAATTTTGATCACACGACCGCGAGGCTACAGTCGTAATTATGGAGAGCTGGCTGTAAATTCTTTTTTTTTTTTTTTTGTCGTAACTTCGGTCACTAAAGGGGCGATCGTAACTCGGGGATTTACCCAGACCTGGAAATTCAGCCGTCCGTCCCCCCCCCCAGTTGCTTCGCCCGTTCCTGTAGTTGCGCCCATCCCTTCTGGGAATTTGCTATTAAATGATGTTATCCAATCATCTGGAGCATTATTGATTGACGCGCGTGGGAGGGAGGGTTGACCGTAGCACCGGGGATTTTCAAATTATTTCCGCGCCATCCGGCAAGTTGGAAAGAGGTAAAAAAAAAAAAGCTGCACCTGGAGAATGCAGCTGTGTCGAGTTGCAAAAATCTTTAAAAATTGGGAGGAAAAGTAGAACGGGCTTCTGAGCCCGTTTGCAGCGGAGATAAACACGTGCAACTCTCTGGAAAGTTATTATTATTATTAATTATTATTATTTATTATTATTATTGATGATCACCGCACAGCCAGCCAGATGTTCAGACTGGATCTGGCATTTTTGTCTACCTATCGAGTCCTTCCCAAGGACCTGGGATGGGCAGATGTGGATGTTTGATGGTATTACAGATATCGTCACAGGATGGAAGCAGTTCCTAGCAAGGCCGCCTTTTGCAATTGTATTATTATTATTATTATTATTATTATTATTATTATTATTATTGATCATCGCACAGCCAGCCAGATATTCAGACTGGATTTGGCATTTTTGTCGACCTATCGAGTCCTTCCCAAGGACCTGGGATAGGCAGATGTGGATGTTTGATGATATTAGAGATCTCGTCGCAGGATGGAAGCAGTTCCTAGTAAGGCCGCCTTTTGCAATTGACCGATGGCGAATTTGTCAATGCCGATGATGGTGTCCAAGTGGTGCTCCAGATGTTTTGGGATTGCACCCAAGGCGCCTATGACTATTGGTGCCACCCTTGCTTGCCTTTGCCAGTCTTTCTATTTCTATTTGTAGGTCTGCCCTCAAGTGCTTTGGAGAATATATTCACACACACACACCCTCCTCTTTGGGGCAGCCCCTCAAATATTTTGTCAATGTCTTTCCAAGTCAAGCTGTCTTTTGCAATTGACCGACTGATTTTGTCTCTGTTTTTCCAAGTAAAATATTTGACTGATGGTGATATTTGTCAATACCGATTATGTTCAAATGATGCTTGGAATATCTTTAAAATATTACCCAGGCATCTTTTACTACCACTAATAATTATTATTGCTTCCAATCCACTAGAAATGAGGAACCGAATTTAAAAATGTGACAGAGAACAATGACCAGTTCTTACAGTATCTCTGTTTTTTTAAAAAAAGAAATACTCATTTCAAACGTTATTTTAATTTCATTTTCCTTCTGAAAATTTATTTTTAATGGCAAGTGCAAAAGCTACAAAGCCAGCAGGAAAAGTAAAAAAAGACAAATTGTATGGTTATATGTGAAAGGAAAAAAAACATCCAAATATATTTCCTTTGATTTGAGATAAACTAAATACGAATAGAAGAAGATGTATCTAATTCAAAATAATAAATATATTTCACAACTGCAATTGAGCCCAAAATTTACGTCGCTAAGTGAGACATCGGTTAAGTGAGTTTTGACCCAGTATACGACTTTTCTTTGCCACTGTCGGTAAGTGAATCACTGCAAGCAAACACTGCGAATGTCGTAAGTACGAGTCGCTTGCTGAGCGTCTGAATTTGGATCCCGCAATCCTGGGGATGGCTGCCACGGTCGTTAAGCATGAAAAACGGTCCTAAGTCCCTTTTTTCAGCACCGTCGTCATGTCAAATGGTCACTAAATGGATAATTGTAAGTTGAGGACTTACCATTTGTACGAAATGGTATAGGGTTTCCTGCCTAAGCAAGGGGTTGGACTAGATGACCTCCAAGGTCCCTTCCAACTTTATTATTATTAGTATTATTAGCATTATTAGTATTATTATTTGTCTGAAATGGTATATAGGGTTTCCTGCCTGAGCAAGGGGTTGGACTAGATGACCTCCAAGGTCCCTTCCAACTTTATTATTATTAGTATTATTAGCATTATTAGTATTATTATTTGTCTGAAATGGTATATAGGGTTTCCTGCCTGAGCAGGGAGTTGGACTAGATGACCTCCAAGGTCCCTTCCAACTTTATCATTATTATCATTATCATCATCATTATTATTATTATTCTGAAATGGTATAGGGTCTCCTGCCTGAGCAGGAGATTGGACTAGATGACCTCCAAGGTCCCCTCCAACTTTTATTATTATTATTATTATTATTATTATTATTATTATTATTATTATTATTATTATTATTATTATTATTACTACTACTACTATTATTATTATTATTATTATTATTATTATTATTATTATTATTATTATTATTATTATTATTTTGAAATGGTATAGGGGTTCCTGCCTGAGCAGGGGGTTGGACTAGGTGACCTCCAAGGTCCCTTCCAACTTTATTAGTATTATTAGTATTATTATTTGTCTGAAATGGTATATAGGGTTTCATGCCTGAGCAGGGGGTTGGACTAGATGACCTCCAAGGTCCCTTCCAACTTTATTAGTATTATTAGTATTATTATTTGTCTGAAATGGTATATAGGGTTTCATGCCTGAGCAGGGGGTTGGACTAGATGACCTCCAAGGTCCCTTCCAACTTTATTAGTATTATTATATTCCCAGGTATTGGTATAAAAATTAATTCAGTATGTAGCCTTATCAAATCTAGACCATACCGAAACGTCGTTTCAACACGCGAATTACAAAAGTGAAAATCTTTAAAAAAATATTTTTTACAGAGGATAAATTAAATTGTAAAATAACGGGGAGAAAGTGAGACCTCTGGAATAAAACTACTATTTTGATCAGCTTCCTGAAGAGAGAACCACTCTAGGATCTAAAAGCTTTTTTTACGGAAGCCGGCTTGGCACAAAAGGAAGGCCAGAGTTAGACTTAAAATGGTTTTCTTTATGCGATATTTAATGGAAGAGCTTTTAATTCTACGTAATGAGATAAGGAGATTTTAAAAGATGTTATTCGATTTAACATTTAGGATTTATATTTAGAAGGGAAATAAATTAGTTATTCAAATAATTGTTTTGAATTATAAATGAAAGATGGATATAGAGGGTAAAGTTTAGTTTATGAGTAAGCGATGAGATTAGAATGAGAATTAGAATATGACTGTGAAATAAACTAGGAATCTACTGGAATAAATAATAAAGTGTATTTTAGAGATGGTATTATTTTGCATGAATTATTAAGGGAACCGTGGGTTATCCGAAACTTAAACATTACTGGACACTAAGCCAACTGGAATATTGTAATTGAAACCAGACAAAAGTCCAAAACAGGATCTGGAGACATATAATTTAAAAGTCGTTTATAAATGTTTTCAATGATTGAGTTATAACTAGCAATTAATCAATTTGAATTTGGTATAATAACTAAGGGAAACACTGGAAGTTTTAAAGAAGAGACTGGGCAGCCATTTGTCCGAAATGGTATAGGGTTTCCTGCCTGAGCAGGAGGTTGGACTAGATGACCTCCAAGGTCCCTTCCAACTTTATCATTATTATTATTATTATTATTATTATTATTAGACTGATATGTGTATGGATAAGTGTGTTATTGGGCTATGTATTACCCAACCACCCTGTTGCTTCCTTAAACACCTGAAGTTTTGTAAAAATGGAAAATTAATAAAACTTGTTTTTTAAAAAAAAAAATCTTTTTTTTTTAGTTTGCTCCTGATGATTGACAGCCGTCCCGATTTAGCCTCCTCCAAAGAGAACTTTGATGAAAATCGTTTTTTAAACAAACAAACAAACAACAAACAAAAAAGTTTGGTGAAACTTTGGTGAAAGTTTCGAAAGTTTGGTGAAACTTTGGGGAAAACTGGAGGGGTGCTTGGGAAGAGGTGCTTCTGTTCCTACTACAAGCCCCATCATGCTTTGGGAGGGGGGGGCGTGTTGGGAGTCGTAAAACCCCTCTGCCCTACAAATCTTTTAATCTGGCAGCTGTTTGGAGAGAGAGGGAGATTAAGAGATTAACATGCTGGCTGTAGTACTAACTGCCTTTGCAAGATGCCGGCCAAAAGACAAGGTAGGTTGCTCTGAGGTTGCGTCCTGGAGTAGACGGGTTTTATCTCCGCTATACGTAGATTTGGGGGTGTCCCTTGGAGATTGGGGGGGACGGTTCCCTTCTGGAGCTGAAGCCCCCAACTCTGCAGAGCGCTTGGGGGCGTTAAGGACACCCCACACACACACTTTGAGACAAAGCTGCGGGAGGGGTCTAGGACTTGGCTGCCACCCCCCCCCCAAAGATGGTTTATAGTGGTCTTTTCCCCTGCAAGGAGGAGCAGGGGGCTCCCCAATAAAGGGTGGGGGGCTCCTGATGCCCTGTCTGGGCATGGCTGCCTTTTGTTATCGTCCTCCATTAGCAAGGGGTTGTGATGGAGGAGGGGGGCAGCCACGCTTCCCATGCTGGTGGGGGGGGCAGGGGGAGACCCCAATTCGGCCAGCCCTGGTGCAGGCAACACAGCCCATGTCCCGCCTGCGCAACTTTAAGACGGGTGGACTGTAACTCCCAGAATTCCCCAGCCAGCCAGCCATTTGTGTTTCTTTTTTTTTTTTTTCTCCTATCCTTTAAATTTTATGTACTGCTTTTATGTATTCCTATTTAGTTATTTTTTTTACTTGCAT